CAACTGATAAAACTGTTTTATTACAAAGTCTGTTTTCTTTCCAGTATGTCATACTGTCACTTTGGTTTTATTATATCATACTGCTACCTAATTATTTAATTAAACTTGTATATACAAAACTTTGTTCTGTAAAGGCCCTGAGCAACCTAAGTATTTGCTGAAATATACAAATATGATTTCTTCTATCCAAAAATGATCTCAGGTGGCTTTAAAAAATAAGAAGATATGAACTACAAAGGGGAAAATCATAATGAAAAAGAAAAATCATAACCAATGAAAAAGGAAGAAGTGAATATGCTAACCATAAATGTTAATTAACATGGTTGCTTGGTGATACGGTTTGGCTGTGTCCCCACCCAAATCTCATTTTATTTTAAATTGTAATAACCTCCATGTGTCAAGGTGGGACCAGGTGGAGATAACTGAATCACAGAGGCAGTTTCTCCCACACTGTTCTCACAAGATCTGACGGTTTTATAAGGGGCTTCCCGTTTGCTCGGCACTCATTCTCTCTCCTGTGACCCTGTGAGGAGGTGCCTTCCACCATAACTGTAAGTCTCCTGAGGTCTCCCTAACCATTCAAAACTGTAAGTCAAGTAAATCTCTTTTCTTTATAAATTATCCAATCTCAGGTATTTCTTTATAGCAATGTATGAACAGACTAATACAGTAAATTGGTACCACAGAGAGTCGGGGGCTGCTAAAAAGATACCTGAAAATGTGGATGTGACTTTGGAACTGGGTAACAGGCAGAGGTTGAAACACTTTGGAGGGCTCAGAAGACAGGAAAATGTGGAAAAATTTAGAACTTCCTAAAGACTTGGAGGGCCCAGAAGACAGGAGAATGTGGAAAAATGTGGAACTTCCTAGAGACTTGTTGAATGGTTCTGACCAAAATGCTGATAATGATATGGACAACGAAGTCCAGATTGAGGTGGTCTCAGATGGAGACTAGGAACTTGTTGGGAACTGGAGTAAACATTACCCTTGCTATGCTTTAGCAAAGAAACTGGTGGCTTTTTGCCCCTGCCCTACAGATCTGTGTAACTTTGAGCTTCAGAGAAATGATTTAGGGTAGATGTCAAAAGAAATTTCTAAGCAGCAAAGAATTCAAGAGGTGACAGAGTATAAAGGTTTGAAAAATTTGCAGCCTGACAATGTAGTAGAAAAGAAAAACTCATTTTCTGGGTAGAAATTCAAGTCTACTGTACAAGTAAGGAGGTGCCAAATGCTAATCACCAAGACAATGGGGAAAATGTCTCCAAGACGTGTCAGAGACCTTCACAGCCCCTCCCATCATAGGCCTGGAAGCCTAAGAGGGAAAATTGGTTTTCTGGGCTGGGTCCAGGGCCCCTCTGCTGGGTGCAGCCTTGGTGCCCTGTGTCTCAGCTGCTCCAGCCATGGCTAAATGGGACCAAGGTACAGCTCAGGCCTTTGCTTCAGAGGGTGCAAGCCCCCAAGCCTTGGCAGCTTCTACATGATGTTGGTCCTGTGGGTGCACAGAAAAGAACTGAAGTTTGGGAACCTCCGCCTATATTTCAGAAGATGTATGGAAATGCCTGGATGTCCAGGTAGAGGTATGCTATAGGGGCAGAGCCCTCATGGAGAACCCCTGCTAGGGCACTGCAGAAGGGAAATGTGGGGTTGGAGCCCCCACACAGAATCCCTACTGGGGCACTGCCTAGCAGAGGTATGGGAAGAGAGCCACTGTCCTCTAGATCCCAGAATCATAGATCCACCCAGTTTGCACCAGAAAAGCCACAGACACTCAATACCAGCCATGAAAGCAGGCATTAAGTGGGGGCTATACTCTGCAAAGCCACAGAGGTAGAGTTGCCCAAGGCTGTGGGAGCCCATCTCTTGCATCAGCAAGACCTGGATGTGAGACGTGTAGTCAAAGGAAATCATTTCAGAACTTTAAGGTTTAATAACTACCCTATTGGATTTCCGACTTGCATGAGAGCCTATAGCCCCTCTATTTTGGCCAATTTCTCCCATTTGGAATGGGTATATTTGCCCAATGCCTGTACCCCCATTGTATCTTGGAAGTAACTACCTTGCTTTTGACTTTACAGGCTCAGAGGTGGAAGAGACTTGCCTTGTCTAGGATGAAACTTTGGACTTGGACTTTTGGATTAATCTGGAATGAGTTAACTTTGGGAGACTGTTGAAAAGGCATGATTGTGTTTTGAAATGTGAGGACATGAGACTCAGGAGGGGCCAGGGGAAGAATGGTATGGTTTGGCTTATCCCCACCCCAATCTCATCTTGAATTGTAATAATTCCCATGTGTCAAGGGCAGGACCAGGTGGAGATAACTGAATTATGGGAGAATTTCCCCCTTACTTTTCTTGGGATAGTGAGTACTCACAAGATCTAATGGACTCAGCACTCATTCTCTCTTCTGCCACCCTGTGAAGAGGTGCTTTCTACGACAACTATAAGTTTCCTGAGGCCTCCCCAGCCACGTGCAACTGAGTCAATTAAACCTCTTTCCTTTATAAATTACCCAGTCTTGGGTATTTCTTCATAGCAGCATGAGAACAGACTAATATGCTTGCATTGTACATAAAATTTGGAAGTCAAGGAAGGATAGGAAAACATTAAATTTAATTCAATGTCAGAAAGAACCTCAAGAGTACATCAGGGTAGGCAAGGATTCCCCACTACTAAGTTGAAAATAGATTTTTCCATAAGAAATAGTGTTATTTATATACAAATCTTATTGCTGCATTAGAGTAAGAAGTTATTAAAGCTTTCCTTGTATACCATATAACACAAATATTAATAGATGGTGTAAATTTGCTGTATGACTGAATTTACCAGTCTTTGTAGCAAACAAAGAGATAACATCCACTGAAGAGAGGAAAAGATGGAAACAGATGGGAATGAGATTCTTCAAATTTGTAATGGCTACCATAGGAATCTGTCAAAGTTAGAAAGACCAAAGGACTGCTAAGTAAAAATGAGACTATGGCAAAAGTTACATAGCATTGATTTTCAGATGAGAAAATTAGCAGTGTTATAAAAAATACTTTTTAAACACCTGGTGGCCAGAGAATTAAAATAGGCAAGGTAGACAATGTTGTGAGAGCCAATGCTCCATACTGGCAAGAAGGGTATCACAGAAAATGAAAGAAGGTAAGGGTAAAGTGTTCATGGGGACATTACTGAAATTACTACAAGTTTCAAGCTGGGAGAACTGATGGATTGGAGGTCAATATAGGGTAAAGAACAGGTTCATAGTTAAGATGCAGTAAGAGAGTAGTGATTATGATGAGAAAAATAAATGCAGACATAGAGGTCTGAGAGGTAACACACTTTCTCTGTGTGATGAGTTTAAGATGTGGCAGTGAGGGTCTTGGAGTAGGTCACACTCTTCCTGGTCCCATATATCCAGGACTGGGGTATGAGGAGAGAAAGCATCTTTTTCTCCCTCAAATAATATATATTTTTTTGGTAATACTGGTCTGTAGCAGAGGCTCACAAAATTTTTCTGTAAAGGGCTCAACAACAAACATCTTAGGCTTTATGGGTTTTATGCTGTCTGTGTCACATAATGTTTTGTTTTGTTTTGTTTTTTGAGACAGTCTTGCTCTGTCCCCCAGGCTGGAGTACAGTGGTGCAATCTTGGCTCACTGCAATTTCCACCTCCTAGCTTCAAGTGATTGTCCTGCCTCAGCTTCCTGAGTAGCTGGGATTATAGGTGCCCACCACAATATCTGGTTATTTTATTTTTAGTAGAAACAGGGTTTCACCATGTTGGCCAGGCTGGTCTTGAACTCCTAACCTCAGGTGATCTGCCGGCCTCAGCCTCCCAAAATGCTGGGATTACAGGTGTGAGCCACAGCATTTATTCATATTCTCTTTCCTTTTTTAATTTTTAAAATCATTTATGTATTTAATTTTCAAACAGAGTGTCGCTCTGTCACCCATGCTGGAATGCAGTGGCATGATCTTGACTCACTGCAACCCTACATCCTGGGGTCAAGCAATTCTCATGCCTCAGCCTACCAAGCAGCTGAGATTATTGGCATGTGCCACCATCCTTGACTAATTTTTGTATTTTTAGTAGAGATGAGGTTTTGCCGTTTTGGCCAGGTTGGTCTTGAACTCCTGGCTTCAAGTGATCTGCCCACTTCACCCTCCCAAGTTGCTGGGATTAAAGACATGAGCCACCATGCCAGACTCTGTTCTGTTTTTAAATAGTATTTTGAAAACGTGAATACCATTCTTAGCTTACAGTCCTTATAACAACAGACCACTGACCAGATTTGATTCATGGGCTACAGCTTGCCCTGCTGTATAGGATAAAATTCTAACTTCTTAGTTTCACAGAAAAGACATTTATGACATAAATCCCATCTATTTCTCCAGTCATGTCATCCATACTTGCTTAACCATAAACTTCTTAGCTGCAGAATTTTTGTTTCCTAAACATTCAGTCTAGGGCCTTTTATAATTCAAGACATCTGTTCTTGCAGTTCCCTTACACCCAAAGTCTTTACCTATTTCTCAGTTTATACAGTTTCTCATTATTCATAATCCATCCCAAATGTCACTTTTTTATATGCCCATCACAATTCACCCAAGCAGTGACCAATTACCTTTGTTATTCAAAACCTCTTTTTTATTGTTCATATCTCCATTAAAGTCTTCATTTGTGCTGAATGATGACCCTTTTACAGGTCTATCTCTCTATATCCCCACAACTCTGAGTATCTAAGCGAAGAAAGGTCTGATCCATCTTGGTGTTTCCACTCCCTCGCACAAATGCCCAATAGTACACAGCTTATGGCACATGCTCAGCAATGAATGAACTAGTTCTTACAGTTTTTAGTATATGTCATACTTTTTAATATAAATATCTTTGCATGATAATTACTATCATATCCTAAAACTACTACTTTATACAATCATAATTTGGTTCTACTGCTTAAGAAATAAAAATTACATTTCAATTTCACTGTGATTTTAAGAGAATTTTCTACTTTACATGCCTGGTTGTGTTCATGAGTTGTACAATTATCTGTTCCATTATATTCTGTAAGCTGGTCTCTTCGTTTTTCTCTAATAAGAATTTTATGAACATCATCTTCCAGTCTATTGAAGAATCCTCCATCATGTGATAAAGTCTGAGAAGAACTGAATTCCTGTCAAAAATGAATTATGATTTACTATCATTCAACACAAAAGCATATGCATTTAATACATCTAATTATCCACTAAAAGGATTTTTTTAAAAAAAAAGACAGCTAAGAGACAACCAACCGCTTGATCCTTCTCTACCTCCAGAAGATAAACAGTAGACACATTTGCAAATTTTCTTTCTTACTTCATTTTTTTATTTAGATACTGCTTTTTAAATTTGTTATTTATATACTATACAACTCACCCATTTAATGTGTACAAGACAGTGGTTTTTAAAATATATTCAGAGTTGTACAACCATCACTCCAGTTAACTGTATGACATTTCTATCACCCCAAAAAGAAACTACCCATTAGCAGTCACTTCCCATTTCCTCCTAATACCTGCCACCCACCCCGGGCAACACTATTTACTGCCTCTGTAGATTTGTCTATTCTGTATGTTTTGTATATATGCAGTCATCCAATATGTGAACCTTTGACTGCCTTCTCTGACTTAGCAAAATATCTTCAAGATTCATCCACGTTATGGCTTATATCAGTACTTCAATCCTTTTTATTGCCAAATAATATCCCATTCTACATTTTACTTCTCCATTAGTTGGTTGACAAGACATTTGGGTTGTTGCTACTTTCTGGCTATTATGAATTATGCTGCTATAACATTCATGCACAAAACTTTATGTGGACTTACTTTCAATTCTCTTGGGTATATAACTAAGAGTAGAACTGCTGGTGACTTGATGTTTAACCTTTTGAGATACTGCTAGATAATTTTCCAAAGCAGCCCACCATCAGCAGTCTAACTGGGTTCCAATTTCTCCACATTCTCATCAACACTTATTATTATCTGCCTTTTTCATGAGAGCCACTGGGTGTGAAGTGGTATCTCATTGCGGTTTTCAGCTGCATTTCCCTGACAGCAAATGGTGCTGAACATCCTTTTATATATCTTTTTGGAGAAATGTCTTCTCAGATCCTTTGCCCATTTCTTAACTGGGTTGTTTTTAATTTTGGGGTTATAAGAGCTCTTTATACATTCTATATGTCTATATCTTATTCAATATGATTTGCAAACATTTACTCCCATTTTGTGAGTTGTCTTGGCATATTCTTGATGGTATCCTTTGTATTGCGTAAGTTTTTAAATTTGATGAAGTCCAATTTTATTCAAGAAACCACTGCCTAACTCGAGGTCACAAAAATTTACTCCTATATTTTCTTCTAACTTTTATAGATTTACCTCCTATGTTTAGTTCTGTGATTCATTTTTAGTTAATTTTTGAACATGGTGTGAAGAAGCGGTCAAAATTCACTCTTCTGCATGATAAAAAATTTATTTGTATACCAGTGGTTACTATATGAATTACATTAAAAATGTCTGTACAACACTTTATATTTTGCAAAGCACATATACAAACATTACTTTATTTGAATCTCATAAACATCATGAGAAGTTGATAGAGCAAGTGTTATTTCCCCAAGTAATTATGGCCTTAAGAATGCAGGTGTGATTGCTAAGGGGTACAGGTATAACTCTAAGACTACTGCTTCATAAAATAGTTCCAGTATATTCTTGTAAGATTTTATTTTACAGCAATAAATATAGAAATATCCTCAGCAAACTTAACACAAGAACAGAAAACCAAATACCATGTATTCCACTTACAAGTGGGAACCAAACGGATGAGAACATACAAACACAAGGGCGGGGAACACAGACACAAGGGCAGGAAATGACACACACTGGGGCCTGTGGAAGGGTGGGAGGTGGGGAAAGGGAGAGCATCAGGAAGCACAGCTAATGGATGCTGGGATTAATACTTAGGTGATAGGATGATCTGTGCAGCAAACTGCCATGGCACACGTTTACCTATGTAACAAACCTGCAAATTTTGCACATGTACCCCTGAACTTAAAATAAAATTTGGAAGTGAGAGAAAAAAAGAACAGAAAAGGTCTTCTTCAGTGAGCTATTATAATAAGAAGGACATTATATACAAATTAAGTTTACTTATTTCTCACCCCTAAGATGAATCTGATGGACTCAACTCTTGAACTTGGAATAATTAAGTATTTATTAAACTCTTACCATACAATTAATACTATGCTCTGCATGGGCTACTCTCATGGAATTCACAATGTACTGAGAAAGACAACTAATATATGAAATAGTAACAAACACAATAATTAAGTACTCTCTGTACCTCAGCGATGGCAACAACTGTGAAGTGTGTACCTACTTCTTCCTCTTTTATAAATGGCAATATAATTAACTGATAATTGTACTTTTTCTTGCTGAGCAACAACAGTCTCAGAATTCTTAATGCAAAGCTCGATAAAAGCCCTAACAATATACTTCAACTGGCAGAGGACATGAAACCTACTATGTGCCCATTATAAATATCATTAAAATGTACAGGGGAAGCAGACCAAAAATGTCTAGGGAAGATTTTGGTGAGAAGGCAGAACATTTATTCATCAACAACATTCACTTACATTACCTACTATATGCCAGAAATTAGGACTACTGGGGACAAAGTTGGCAAAAATAGGCAATAAGGAAAAGGACTCATTCAATAAAAAAGTGCAAGGAAAGCTGGCTAACCAAATGCAGAAGACTGAAACTGGACCCCTATCTATCACCATATACAAAAATTAACTAAAGATGGATTTAAGACTTAAATGTAAGACCTCAAACTACAAGAATTGTAGAATAAAACCTAAGATACCAATGGAAACACTGGCCTTGGCAAAGAGTTTATGCAGGAAGCTGTGGTGGGAGAACTGCTTGAGCCTGGGAGGAGGAGGTTGCAATGGGCTGAGACAGTTCCCTTACACCCAAAGTCTTTACCTATTTCTCAGTTTATACAGTTTCTCATTATTCATAATCCATCCCAAATGTCACTTTTTTATATGCCCATCACAATTCACCCAAGCAGTGATCAGTTACCTTTGCTTTTCCCTCCTGAATTTTATCCAATAAATACCTGATTTAAGGGGAGGTAGAAAAGTATCAAAAGGTAATGTGCCTCACACCAGTCAGAATGGCTATTAAAAAGTAAAAAAAAAAAATTATAATAATAACAGATACTGGCAGGGTTACAGAGAAAAAGAAATGCTATACACTGTGGGTGAGAGTGTAAATTAGTTCAACCATTCTGGAAAGCAGTTTGGCAATTCCTCAAAGAACTAAAAACAGAAATACTATTTGACCCAGAAATGTCATTACTGGGTATATATGCACCATGGAATACTATGCAGCCATAAAAAAGAATGAGATTGTGTCCTCTGCAGAGATATGGATGGAGCTAAATGCCATTATCCTTAACAAACTAACACAGAAACAAAAACCAAATACTGCATGTTGTCACTTACAATGAGCTAAGTAATGAGAACACATGGACACATAGAGAGGAACAACTCACACTGGGGCTTACCAGAGAGTGGGGGGTGGAAGGAGGGAAAAGATCAGGAAAAATAACAAATGATTACTAGGTTTAATACATGGGTGATGAAATAATCTGTATAACAAACCACCATGATGCAAGTTTACCTATGTAACAAAGCTACACATGTACCCCTGAACTTAAAAAACAAAAACAAAAATAAAGGTAATGTGAATTTCATATTCTTACAACTAATTTTTTCATATAGTTGTAAGAGAAATAAATTATAATTAGACTGTATTTACAAATGTGGAACTTAATCATTAGAAATCTTCAAAATGAATTTTATTGTATGTCAGATGATTTTACAAGACAAAACACAGCTCTAAAATTATAAAATATATTATTCTAATACAGAAGCTTCTTTAAATACGACTCATCTTTAATATATTAATAGGATCTTGTCAGTTTGCATTTTTTGTCTTCTTTCAAATCAGGAAAAGAAGAAAAAGCAAGCGTGAAAGTTTACAGAATTATCTTAGGAGTAGGGTGTGTACCATGTGTACCTGCTTTCTCATTTGTATAACATTATCCCTTAAATCAATGGACAGAAATAAATAGGAAACAGTCCAAAAGTATGTTTTCCACCTTCAAACATGGAATTAATATTCAGTCTATATATGCAGTCATTTAAATTTTAATCTAAGAAATGACAATGGTTTGCAAATAACTTTTAAAAAGTTCAGCGATCTGTTTTAACCACAGATCAATTCTGTGTTTGCATGCACAACTGTTAAAGACTAAATTATTAATATAGAATTATTTAGATGTGATTTTTTAAAGAGATGGATGTTTTCCTAGCCTGTCAAGCAAATGTCTAAAACCAAAAAAAAAAGGTCAGAAGCCATATATATATCTTTTAAAACTATTAGCTATTTTATTTTAGAATATATATATATATATATATATATACTAAAGTGAAATCAAGAACCATATGACCATACAAAAAATTAATCAATGGAATTACTAATAAGAACACATATATAATAGAAACTTTAAAATTACCTTAAAAATAACTTTAATATTTGATTAGTATCTTTCTCAATGTTAAGAGAATTTTTTTAATCCTACAATCTCCCAACTAAAATATTTGTAGAGGCTGTACTACAGGAACAAAAACACCCAAAATCCCCAACACCAGGAAGTGTAGGCTACACTAACAAGATATTATCAGGTTACTCTTACCCATGAGTGTATCTAAAGAATGATAGTTCATTTCAAATCTCCATAATTCCAAAATACTATCAGACATCTTCTCAGGATAAGTTTTTAATAAAGTAAAATATAGAGTGGGAGATGAAACCACTTTTCTCTATGATTTTAAGCTTGGCACACAGAAAGTAACCTTTGGTTCATTCACACATATACACAAATTAGGATGATAAGCCAAATTATATTATGCGTCTTGCAAATAATCATATTTCTTTTCTATAATAATGCATTTTATATCCTTATATAATGCCAGAATCATTACTGGCTTCACTCAAGACAAACCTATGGGTTGACCTTTAAATGGTTACATCTCAAAAAAGACTGATAAATATTAAAGTATTATTCTTAAAATCATCAGTGTTTTCTACAAGATGGCTACAATAAGACTTACCTCAGTCTTTTTACTAATGTGATCTGTAAATGGAAAAAAAAAAAAGATGAGACTTCATTGAAGAAATTTAACATATAAAAGAAAAAAACTGAAAGAATTTCAAAATTATAATAGGAGTTACAGAAGTCACTTAAGGGTTTTCTAGGATTCTCATTTCCTTTTCTAGGTTTAAGATGTTAAAAGTCAGTATACTATTACTAATTTACTCAGCTTAAGGATCAAGTCTTATTATCCTAGTAAATGCCACCCATATTAAGGGATATTACTGCATTTTAAGCATATGAGTTTCACATAATTCAGTTTTTTGGTTCCACATAATTTGGGATGTTGTGGGGAGCAAGTCAAGGGGCCACAAATATGTCCAAAATCAAATCACAGGTTACTATAACTGCAAAAAATATTCAGATTACTGCTTTTGTATAACACAAAGGTAGGATAGTAATTTGTGTCTTTTAAAACTATTAGCTATATTATTTTAAAAACATGTATCATAGTGATTTGATAGTACTATGAAAAAATCCTAAAATCGATATATATATTTATAGAATAAACACAAAAAAATAACCCATAACAAATATATCTAGATGAAACAAATTATTGGCCTAGAAATAACACAGCATTTCTGGAAATTACCAAGAGTAGAATGAGGACAGACTAAGGGAATCTACACAGGTATAAGGTTGAAACTAAAGTACAAGTAAGTCCAGGGGCGATGTCTCATGTCCGTAATCCCAACCCTTTGGGAGGCTGAGGTGAGTGGACCACCTGAGGCCAGGAGTTTTACACCAGCCTGGACAACATGGCGAAACCCCATCTCTACTAAAAATACAAAAAATTTGCTAGGCGTGGTGGCACACACCTGTAATCCCAAGTACTTGGGAGACTGAGGCATGAGAATCACTTGAACCAGGAGGCAGAGGGTACAGTGAGCCAAGACCGTGCTACTGCACTCCAGCCTGAAAGGCATAAATAAATAAAGTACAAATAGTGAGCAAGTATTCTTATTTAAATTGAAGATGACCAGGATATCTAATACTTAACAATGCTTCTCGTGTACAGAGAAGTTTTCTATTCTCAAGGACTAAAAATAATATAACTTTCTTACGACTGAGAATCAAAAAGTTGGTCCAGTTCTCTAAAGAATTTCTTGATCAGAATAGTGTCAAAAATAAAAAATAGTGTCCATAAACATAGTAAATGCCAAAGTCATCAACTTCAGATCAAAGTACCAAATCCTGGTAAGTTACGCAGTCATTCTTCCAGCATGTTCTATTTGGCATACAATGTGATGTCAGAACCCAAGAAAGAACCTCAGCTGTGTTCATCATGACGTGCAAAAGCTGTGTAGCTTCTCTTTAATAAACATACAGATGTTTTTCTCAATGGAGCTAGCAAATTTACATACTAAAGAAATCAAATGTGGAAAATAGGAGTTTTAGAAGGCATTCTTTCCATCTTTCTGCCTAGTTTTTAATAAAATGTATTTCTTCTTTTTTTTAAGAGACAAGATCTCACGCTGTTGCCCAGGCTGGAGTGCAGTAGTATGTGCATAGCTCACTGTAGCTAGCCTGTGGCTCCTAGCCTCAAGCGATCCTCCTGCCTTGGCCTCCCAAATCAATGGGATTATAGGTATTGCCCACTGCATATGGCCCAAAATAGATTCCTTAGGTGGAGTTTCAGTCTTGTTGCCCAGGCTGGAGTGCAATGGCACAATCTTGGCTCACTGCAACCTCTACCTCCTGGGTTCAAGCAATTCTCCTGCCTCAGTCTCCCAAGTAGCTGGGATTACAGGGATGCACCACTATGCCTGGTTAATTTTTCTGTATTTAGTAGAGATGGGGTTTCACGATGTTGGCCAGGCTGGTCTCAAACTCCTGACCTCAGGTGATCCACCCACCTCAGCCTCCCAAAGTGTTGGGATTACAGGCGTGAGCCACCGGGCCAATTTTTTTTTTTTTTTTTTTTTTTTTTTTTTTTTTTTTTTTTAAGACAAGTCTTGCTCTGTTGTCCCAGGATGGAGTGCAGTGGCGCAACGTCAGCTCACTGCAACCTCTGCCTCCTGGGTTCAAGTGATTCTCCTGCCCCAACCTCCGGAGTAGCTGGGATTACAGGCCCTGCTAATTTTTATTGTTTTAGTACAGACAGGGTTTCACCATGTTGGCCAGTTTGGTCTCGAACTCTTAACATCAAATGGATCCACCTGCCTTGGTCCTTCAAAGTGCTGGGATTACAGGCATAAGCCACCTCACCTGGCCAAAATTTGGAAATTTTAATATGTATTTGTTCTTTTAACCCAAAGCAAAGCAACTTAATCACTGGACGCTTATGGGTAAAAACCTTCTTGATCCTCAAAGGAAAATAATAATCTTCTAAACATATTCTCCAATTTTCAAAGAAAGGCTTATTTCTGAAAGCAGTATTTAGGTTCTTTTTGAAATTACTGCAATGGTAATATTTATCATCAAACAATGCCCAATGTACTAAGGCTGAATTCATATGAATCAAATAAAATGCTCTGTCAATGAACAAACAGCTGTTCATACGGTGAGCAACTATTCTGACTGGTATAGACACAGCAGTGTTCAATAAAAGTTTCTGTGATTATAGTAATGATCTATAGCTGGACTAACATGGAAGCCACTAGTCATATGTGGCTACTGAGCACTTGAAATATGGCTAATGCAATTAAAAACTACATTTTCATTTTAATTTTCATTTAAATTGCCACACATGAATAGTAGCTACCATACTGTACAGCAGAAGCTAAGAGTTTTTAGCATTTCCCACATTAAAAATAATGTGCTTTGTGGTTTGTCTTCAAAAGTTTAGTAGATAGTAAAATTCCTTATGTCTTCTCCATTTGATAAAAAATACAAATGGGCCGGGCACAGTGGCTCAAGCCTGTAATCAAAGCACTTTTGGGAGCTGAGGTGGGAGGATCACCTCAGGTTGGGAGTCAAAATTTCTGATTTTAAATTACTTTAAAATGCCAAATGGTTTTAGTTTATTTCCAAATAGTTTTGTCCCTTCCAAAACTCATGTTGAAATTTAATTGCTGTCGGGCACAGTGGCTCATGCCTGTAATTCCAACACTTTGGGAGGCTGAGGCTGGTGGATCTCCTGAGCTCAGAAGTTTGAGACCACCCAGGGAAACATGGTGAAATACAAAAATTTTGTAAAAAATACAAAAAATTAGCTGGGCGTGGTGGTCCACACCTGTAGTCCCAGCTAATCGAGAGGCTGAGGCATGAGAATCGCTTGAGCCCCAGAGGTGGAGGTTGCAGTGAACTGGGACTGTGCCACTGCACTTCAGCTTGGGCTACAGACTCTGTAGCCCTGTCTTAGAGTGAGACTCTGTCTTAAAAAAGAAAAAAAAAAGAAAGAAATTTAATTGACATGCAAAAATATTCAGAGATGGGATCTTAAACAGGTAATTAGGCCCATGAGAGCTCCATCCTCATAGGTGGCATTGGTTATAAAAGGGCAAATTTGGCCCCCTCTTGCTCTCCCACCCTCTTGCTTTGACTCTTGCCACGTGATCACTTGTTAAGAAGGCCCTCTCCAGATGTTGGCATCTTAATATTGGACTTCCCGGCTTCCACAACTGTGAACCAATAAATTTCCATTCATTATAAATAACCCAGTCTCAAGTACTCTACAGCAGTACAAAACAAACTAAGATACAGGTTTACATTTTTTAACATTCTACATGATACATAAACAACTTTTACTTTTTTAAAATTAGAAAGATATTTACAACAGAAGTATAAAATAGATGTAGAATAGTTCTTTTAGCATAACAGTACTGTGTATGTATTACCTTCTGAATGAAAATCTTTTAGTGATACCGTGAGAGGTTTGTCTTTTCCCTGATGATTTTTTCTTTTATCTTTTTTATTCATAACTTTGGACTGAGTTGAAGCATTTTCAGCATTTTCATACTCCTAAAAAGAATTACCAACAATAATTAAGTTCAGTTTACAAATTGTAAAATAAACTCATCAATATATAATATGTTTCTTAAAGTTTATTTTTTAAAGATAAAAGGCAAATAAAAAAATAAAATTTAGGCTAGCCAAATTGCATAAAGGGATACATCTTTATGTACTTACTCAATCCTTACATCTTAAACATTAAAATAAAACAAACAAAAAAAAGTCATACTTAGTTTGTAACCCCCTTTCTCAATGCTACCTTCTTCCTTTCAAGGCCAAATTTAAGACCATAATCAGCAATTTCCTGCCTCAGCCCACTGAAATCTGGCTTCTGCTGGTCTCTGACACTAAAATTAAGGTCAACCTCCTATTTATTGCCAAATCCACAAACACATCTTTTTTTTTTTCAAGCCTCTCTTGGTGTTCTTAATATATTTCTAACTACTGCTGAGTTTCCTTTGCTGGCTTCTTTTCTCAACCTTCTCAAAAATGTTGTTCACATTATCCCACTCTTAACCTATTTTTTTAATGCTTTATACCCACTGCTCTTCAATCTCAAAGTTTAAAGTTCTGCCAACAAACTGTTTCTGTACAGACAGACAACTGAACTGCAATGTTCAATAAGCATCTCCACACTAGATGTATTCTATCTTTCCATCTCACCACCCTGCCTTCCCCACTCTATCCTTTATGAAGTACCTTGTTATGCTGCCACCATCTAGGCATCTAAGTTGGAAACCTCAGAGTATCCCTGCCTACTCTCCTATACACCTTATAGCCAATTAATTGCTAGGTCTTGTTTAACTTATCTCCTGAAGATCTCTTAAATACACTCTCCTTCCTTGTACATTCTGTCATTCCCCCTATCTTCTTTTGCTTGGATACTGTAACAGTCTCTAATTTTAGCTCCTCAATCCATCTTCTATACTGTTATACATGAGTTTCTAAAATAAAAACCCAAAATCAATCTAAAAGTTAAAATGATTAAACAGCTTTCTGCCAATGGATGTATAAAACCCAATCTCTTTGCTGAGTACATGAGGTAATTTATGTCCTACCCTTCTGGTTGTATCTCCAGAAGTTCTAGGTCCTTAAATGACAGTTTTTCAAATTATGCTATATTCTTTCATGGGTACACGTTATATACTTGCCACTCCTTCCTTCAGAATGCCTACTTTCCTCTTGTCTACCTCATGAACTTCTAATATACCTAACAAGACTCTTTTTTGAGAATCCTTTCCTGAAACTTATACTCAAAAGCAGTCAAAAGTCTTCTATTTTTCTGAATTTCCATTGCACTGAGAACATACATCTCTCAATACTATATACTATGTCTCCCTCCACTAAACTCAAGGGGCACATTTTAGCTATTCAATAAATACTTGACAAATAACTGACAGAACAGAGTGGAAAATGCCATCCCAAACTTTAGTTACCTGTTATAAAAATCCTTAGGTTAAAACAATTGTATTAAGAATTATTTTATTGGAATATTGACTTTTATCTCAATGACTACACATCAATATAATCACACCAAACTACCTATTGCATACATAAAAAGTTCTTCCTTTCTCTTAGTCATTACTGTCTGATAAAACCAATGATTTTGAGTACTGCACCTATGACTGTACAAGGAACACTGGCTGGGAGTATGACATTTTATCCGCACTATTTACTCTACTTCTCCTCTAAGGATACAGGTGAACCTTCTAGCTTTAAAATCTAGACATAACATCCATAAATCTAACAGCAAGAAGTCATCTTTGTATGATAATATTCTATTTTATAAATTTTATCTCCTGATTGAGCAAGACAAGATTACTTTTCCAGTGTAACCTGATAGTCCACTTAAATGATTAAATCATAGTAAAACTAGCCATATCAATTTTTGTGATTTTTCTGCTTTATCTAAATGTGTATGTAGCAATAATGGTTATAGTTCATTCTTCATTTGGCATAACAGAACGAGGGTTATGGAAAAGAAACACATATAATATACACAGCCCACTTTATTGACAACTTTTTTCCTTTTCCCTTGAACTATAAATAAGTAGCAAAATCAATGCTGTGAATTTTTTTGTTAAGATGGGATCTCCCTTTGTTGCCCAGACAGGAGGAGTACAATGGCATGATCATAGCTTACTGCATCCTCTAACTCCTGAGCTCAAGGGATTCTCCCACCTCAGCCTCCCAAGTACCTGGGACTACAGGCTCACACAAACCACCATGCCCAGCTAGTTTAAAATAAATATGTATGTATGTATGTGTATATTTATTTTTAGAGATAGGGTCTTGCTGTGTTAATCCAAGCTAGTCTCAAACTCCTAGGCTCAACCAATCCTCCTGTCTCAGCCTCCTAAGTTGCTGCTGTGAATTTTAATTATTTGCTTCTTTTCATTTTGGATGAAGACACTAATATACAAGAACATGGCCAAGAAGTCTTAAAGATGACCAGAGGCCATTTATGATCAACCACTGAGTAATCACAGCTTAAACAAATTTTATGAACCAAAAAACAATCCCAATAAATGTTAAGGACTAAAATATTAAATGGTATTAAGATAATGAATACTCACACAATTTAAATACAGAAACTGTAAACCAACACTTCTTTTTACTTAAATGCTCCTACAATAACAAGCTATAAAGTGCATTTTAACACACAACTGATTATCAAAGCTCAGTGACAAATGCTGAGTTTTCAAGGCCAAACTTTCAGAAATGGCCTATTTACATGATTATAGTGCATCTCCGGCAGAGGGTCTCTTAATAAATGCCCCTGAAGTAGTAGCCATGTTAAAAATTTAAATCCACTTATTTCTGTGTTCATTTAAAATGAGAATAATCAACCAGGCGCAGTGGTTTACGCCTGTAGTCCCAGCACTTTGAGAGGCTGAGGTAAGCGGATCAGCAGAGCTCAGGAGTTCGAGTCCAGCCTGGCCAACATGGTGAAATCCCATCTCTACAAAAAAACAAAAATTAGCTGGGTGTGGTAGCTCACACCTCTAGTCCCAGCTACTCAAGAGTCTGAGATGTGAGAATCTCTTGAACCTGAGAGGTGGAGGTTGCAGTGAGCTGAGATCACGCCACTGCACTCGAGCCTAGGCAACAGAGTAAGACTCAGTCCCAAGAAAAAATAATACTAAAAATAAATTAAATTAATCATTTTTTGTGAATTTTATTCTCTCTCTTCCCTTCATCTTGGGTGGGGAAACTCCTTAACTAAACATTCCAAGTCACCGGACAAAGTTTAGTCCAGTTGTTTCTGTTCTCTCTCAAAACAAGAAGAAATACTATTATAAACATGTCTTGGTAATATTTTATTACAATGATGAATTTTTGGACAAACTTTATAAAAGAAATTTTACATAAAATTCAAGTAGGTTGGTTTTAACCTTTCACCAGTTAAACTTCTAAAATATCAAAATCAGTAAGTGTGTAAATACCTTTTTGTGTTCCTCGTATTCTAATTTACTTAGCAACAATGCCTTCTCAAGATCTGCTTCAAACATTTCAGATGTCAGCTAAAAAAAAAGTTTCACAATAAACAGACAGTATCATTACATCACAAGAGCAAAATAACCATACCCATGACTACATATAGAGGAAAAGAAAGCAAATACATTTAAAAAAATATGGAGTCTCCAAAGTTATCTTAACCGCACCAAATTAGGAAGCCTATATTCTATAGAAGATATCAAAATACAAACTTCCAATTTTGAGGTTTCTATTTTTCCTCTTCGTTGTTAATTATCTGTTGTATATGATATAACCTTACTTTTTACCTTAATAAAAAAAACTTTTCAAACAGTTGGCACTGTAATAGATGTCAAAGACAACATTCAGTTTAGGACACCAAAAGTTATGAGTGATTATAACTAAAAAATATAATACTTAAAAATAACTCAACAAGAATTATTAAACACAATATACCATTTCCTGAATATAGAAAACAATCACAGGTACAGAATAAGGTTGCCAAATGTCCTGGTATAAGGTGTTACAGAATAATTGTTTATAGTGCATCTTTTTACTCTTAAAATGATAATATGGTTGCTTTACTTTTAAGTCATCTAATAAAGATCATTTAATTTGTGATCTCTATTTGTTTATTTTTCACCAATCTCACCTAACTTCTTACAATCTAGCTTCAACCACCCTCCAATCAAATCAATCTCTACAACTTACTTTTCCTAATTATCAAACAAAATGCTGCAGTAGCTGGATGGGACTTGGAGTTTCCACTACTGGGGATAAGGTGAGTGTGTTTGCAGCTGTATGTAAAATAGCTGCAACATTACATGGGTAAGCATCCTGGATTTGTGTACATGTATGTATCTATGTGTATAACACAACAAAAGCATAACTTCAGTGGATACCTCTTGTTTTTATCTGTCCAGAATCCCTTCCTTGATTCATTTAAATAACTATACTTCATTCCAAAGTCCCATGGTTTCAACAGGATAGCCAGTCACATAATTCTGTATACTAGGCACTACCATACCACACAAACACACAAGCTATCATCACCAATGACAAAAGATGGAGGCAAGTCATCCAACACTTTTTTTTTTTTTGCTCTCCCAGAAATTAAATTTTGAGAACAAAGAAAAAGCAAGGGGGGTTTATTAGCTAATGATAACCCTCAAAAAGTGACATCTACTAGCTCATGCCTCTTAGCACCCCCAAATCCCTTGGTTTCCAACTTTCCCATGACCTAATTGTTCAGTTTTTAATTCAAATCTGAGAATAACTCAGTATCCTTCAAAAAAATTTTCTTGCCTAAGTTAATCATATGTTTTTACAGCTTAATGATTTTTAAAATCTAAACTAAAATAGAAACCAACTCCAAATAGAAGTGACCTGTTTCAAAGAAATACCCTAAAAACTAGAAAAATGTTAATACTGGACACTATGAACTAAACTTTTCATTTCTAAACAAAGTCATCCCTTTGAAAGCATCTCATCTAATCTTATAGTGAGACAATAAGAAGAAAGGAAAAAAGATTAAGTTTACACACAAAAAAATATTAATCTAACTCAGAAAAATACAATTAGAATTAAAATGGTAAATAACGGTACATAGGACTAGAAAATCAGATTAAATCCAGTATAAATTATACATTCTTTATGGAATAACTGAAAAGAATTGAAGAATTAATTTAAATTAGTAATTAGCAGGAAAAAGTAATAAATTAATCTTTTAGACTTATATATGTTTATTATGTATATGGGTATTCAACAGTTACAAGGTAAAAGGAAGTTTACATCAATTTATCCACCTAACCTCAAAACAAACTGATGAAAAATGTTTCACTGTAATTAAAGGACAGCAGTCAGCTGAGCGCAATGGCACAAGCCTGTAATCCCAGCACCTTGGGAGGTCGAGGTGGGCAGATCATGAGATCAAGAGATGGAGACCATCCTGGCCAACAAGGTGAAACCCTGTCTCTATTTTAAAAATAGAAAAATTAGCTGGGCGTGGTGGCAAGCACTGTAGTCCCCGTTACTTGGGAGGCTGAGGCAGGAGGATTGCTTGAACCCAGGAGGTGGAGGTTGCAGTGAGCCAAGTTCACACTATTGCATTCTAGCCTGGTGACTGGCGACACAGCGAGACTCCATTAACAACAACAACAAAAAAGGTAACAAAACTAGGCTGGCACAGTGGCCCATGCCTGTAATCCCAGCACTTTAGGAAGCCAAGCTGGGAAGAGTTCAAGGATCAGCCTGGCCAACATGATGAAACCTCGTCTCTATTAAAAATACAAAAAACAAACAAACAAACAAAACAGCCTGGCGTGGTGGTGCACATGCACTTGTAGTCCCAGCTACTCCAGTAAACAGTAGCTGGGACTACAGGTGCATATGCCCCACACGAAGCAGGACAATTGCTTGAACCTGGAGGTGGAGGTTGCAGTGAGCTGAGATTGGGCCACTGCACTCCAGCTTGGGTGACAGAGTGGGACTCTGTCTCAAAAAAAAAAAAAAGTAACAAAACTACTTAAGTTTATTATGAACAAAGTTGGTTCAATTTGCCACTAAACATTTAATCTCTATTGACATTTATTAATTATAGAAAGGGCATTTGAGATTATTTCTAATATGTCACATAGTCTGATGATATTTCAAAAATAAGTTACTGGGCAGATCAGGTCAGGAAGTTGAAAGTCTGGCTAGATGTCATTTTTATTTTTCATCATATTAACTCACAGAATTTAAATATTAAGGCAGCTCATTCTAATAGCATCATAAAAACTGAATGAAATAGAAATTTTAAAGTAAAAAAAAATATGGCCCTCCAAGCAATTCGTTCTAACTGTAGTAGTTCAGACTTGAAATTTACCTTTTAATTATTAACACAAACTAGTATAGGAGAAGATGCAAGTAGACAAAAATGATTTAAATTTAAATTTTTGAAAACTAGAACAAATCTTCCAAAAATTTCACTGCATGATCAATCAGCCACTAAAGATTCATTTAGAGTTTTCTGGGGTCTGTGCCCTCCCTGCCTATGGAGCTTAATTTAAAGAAGCAGCATAAATTTGGCTTTTGCCCTTGAAGAATTCCTACCCAATTGAGAATGTAAGATTAACATGTATGAACTAAAGAAAACAGAATAAGACATTAAAAGAGCTACAAAAGTTCAAAGAAAGATTAACAACAAAGGTAATTCAGAGATATAGACAAAAATCAATTTAAGTTGGTATTTAAATATAGATACAATTTGGATAGGCAGAAATAGAATTGCAAGAGCAAGCCACATTATAATGTTAATGTTATCATCTTAAAAATAGATATGCTATGGGATACTAAGAAAAGTCATTCTGACAAAAAGTGATTTTAAACATTACAAGAGAAAGATGTGGAAAAAAACACAGGAATTGGGAGATCATAGAAATGAATAATTCAAATTCCTATTCCACCCATGCTAGCTGTGATTTTGAACAAGTTTTATTTACTTCTGTGAATCTCAGAACAGGTAAAAAGAACATTGAAATATCAACTGTACAAGGCAGTTTTGAGGATTTAAAGTTATAATATGTATGAAGTGCTTAGCACATTTCCTGGCATAAAACCAGTACTAAGTGAATTAGAGTTACCTTCCCATGTTGCAGAATAGTAGAAAATACGATTGCTTAGGGCAACATTAAGTTCCAGACACTGCCTAAACTTTAAGGACATAAGGCAGATAAAAGAGGAATGCAAATACCAAATAAAAGTAATTTTTAAGACATAAACTGGAATATTAGAAGAAGGAGAACCTAGAATCAATGTGTCTGACTAAGCCATTGTAATCTCAGACAGCATATGGGCACCTGGACCAAAATGTAGCAGTGTGGAAAATAAAGAAGGTTCTATCTTAGAAGAGACTGATGAAGTTTTGGAACACTGACTATATGAAAAGTGTGAAAGAATCAAAGATAAGGTTTTTGACCTTAGATAACAGAGAGAATGGTAGCACAAGACTAACACATCAGAAAAGAGAAAGGAAAGATGACTTGAAATTCTCTAAACATATCTTTATTCTCTGTCAGAGACTGCTATAAATGTAGCTGACAATCTACTTAATCAGTAAATGTATAGGTAAAAGAGAGAGAGACAGAGACTGGGTCTGTAAAACTGGCTCCAGGCAATAAAATGAAAATAAAACCATACTTTTAAAAAAGTACCTTGTTTAACTTTGCAAATGTTAAGTTCCTTATTATTTTCTTTTTATTTCTCGGAGGAGTAGGAAAGGAAGAAAAAGAGGAAATAGTAGGCACTAAAATGCCTACAGAATTCAAGAAGATACTTAGACGTGCCTCAGATGGAGTACTTCAGATCCCCTTCCTCTTGACTTCCTCATTGCCTCCTACTCCCCACCTAGTAGTAAAACTTTTTTTTTCTATTTAAGCAAATCTATAGCTCAATCAGTTAAAGAGTATGAAGAACCAATTAAAAACCTAAAGGACAGAAAGTATTTTGGTACGAAGATTTTTAAAAAAATTAATTTGTAAGTCTAAGTACCATTACAATTTTCCCCATTTACATCCAAACAAAACAAATTGCAAATGAATAGTCTTCAATTCTCATAGTAAACATGGAAATATATTATTATAAAACAAAAGAGATAACCATTCTGAAGACATCTAACACTTGCAGCCAACCGATTAGACATAATAGCAGTAGTACATTGTGGTCCTCTTATGAAACAAAAGAGACAAACAAAAGAGTTATTATAAAACAAAAGAGATAACCATTCTGAAGACATCTAACACTTGCAGCCAACCGATTAGACATAATAGCAGTAGTGCATTGTGGTCCTCTAACTCAGCAATTTTCAAAGTGTAGACTACATATTCAGAGTTCTACAAATACTACATATATCATTCACATTCATTGCCACATTCAGTTCATCTCAGCTAATGTATTTTTATGTCTTTTGAGTGCTGTTTGCATTTACGAACTCTGCATTTTTGTTGTATGCTTTATCATATCTCCCAGCAATAAAAATGGTTCAATAAGTCATGAAAGAATTAAAAGT